AAATTAATTAAAAGAGAAAAAGTATATATTATTGTTTTGTTTTGTTTTTGTTTTTGGTACCAAGGATCAAACTCGGATCCTTGCACTTGCGCAGCAGGTGGCGAAACCACTGAGCTAAATCCCTGGCCCAAAGTATATATTACTAATAGATCTAAAAATCTTTCTGCATGGAGTTAACATTTATTCACAAAGACTCCTGGTCAACCATGGCTGTTGGACAGACAGAACTTTAAGATGTCCCCAAGTTTCCTGGTCTTTGATGTATTCTTGGGTAGACCCATGAGCACAAAAGGTGCCACCAAAAGCCACAGGATTAACTCCAGAAAAAAATCAAACATTTGGTACCAAAAGTTAGAGAAGGTAAATTCTAGTGTTCTATAGCAAGGTAGGGTAATGTTAGTTCACAATAAAGTATCATATATTTTATGAATTACTAGAAATGAGGAGCTCAAAGGCTGTAAACACAAAGTACTGATAAGGAGATGAAGATGTTAATTACCCTGATTTGATCGCTGTGCATTGTACACATGTAGTGAAATATTACACGGTACCTCATAGACAGTTATTACATGTTAATCAAACCATTTTTAAAAATGTTTAAGGAAATGGAAGTGCTCACCACTATATACACACTGCATGCCCATACTGGTCAGGGCTCTCCAAAAGATCCAAACCAGTAGAACATGTATAATTACAGGCAACAAACTAGATTGGCTTGCATGATCAGCAGCTGAGTAGTCCCACCTTGGCTGTCTGTAGCTCAGGGTGCTGGGGAAGATGGCAGCCAACCCATCCAAGAAGCTGGAAGCCTCAGAACAAGAGGAATTAATCATGCAACCCTCGTCTGAGGCTGAAGGCCTGGAGGACTCCTGCAGAGTTATGCTGTGTCCAAAGGCTAAAGAATGTGGAGTCTGACGTGCACTTGTGGCAGCAACAGCAAAAACTGTTCCTGCTCAAGTAAGGTCGAATGTATGTACTCATGAGCTTTCCCCTCTTCTCCCACCTTTCATACCATCTGGCCACCAGCCTATTGGACCCTCCCAGACACACCCAGAAGCATGCTTTATCAATTTTTCTACTCCTAAATCTATCCAGTCAAGTTGACAACCAAGATCAATCTTCATAATAACACATGTTGAATTATCTTATTGCACCCCATAATATGTATGATTAAAATAATAATATTTAGCTGAACTTCAAAATTTTTAGGAATCAGTGACCCCTTTTTCCCTTACTTCTCCCCCTCTTGGAACTGTAATGTCTGTAGCATTACCCCATGACTGTTTCATCATTATATGTTGAAAGTGTTAGGATTGTATAACTAGTCATTTTAGTTTCACAAATTCAAATGTAGAAATTGTGCTACATGTTGGTTTACTCCTAACAGAGTCATCTGGACTTGATTTAGAAGATGAGATTTTTGGATTTTGATTTTGGTGGGGCTTGAGGTAATATGGTAATAAGATGAGGGTTTGGGGAACCTTGGAATGGCTTGAATGTATTTTGCACATGGAACAAACATAAATCTCCAGGTGCCAAAGGGTAGAATAGTTTAGGCAGAATTCTAAGATCACTCCTAAGATTCCTGGATACTGGTGCAGCACATGCAACACCTTCCCATTATTTAGGCAGACACTAAGCTAAGTGCTATGTGACAGAGTCTTCCAGAAGTCACTATTATCCCAATTCAGTTGATATTAAATGGAAAAATTATCCAAGCAGGCCTGATGTAACCATGAAATTTGAGTCTTTAAGTCTTTAAATTTAAGTCTTTAAGTCTTTAAATTTGAGTCTAAAGTCTAAAATTCTTTAAATTTAAGTCTTTTAAATCTTTAAATTTGAGTCTAAAGGTCAGCAATGGAGCAGTCAGATTCAAACTGTGAGAAGGAGTCAACATAAGGGAAATTCTCACTGTTGACTCTAAAGATGCAGGAGCCGTGTAGATTAATTTTACCTGTTTTTGAACTTCATAAAAACAGATTCCTATAGTAGACAATCTCTGGTATCCAACTTTATTAGCTAAATATCTCTTTGTTGAGATTCATCCAGATTGTCAAGTATTACAATAGTTCCCTCTTTTTCAAAAAAATATCCTGTACATATTTGCAGTACAAAATGTTTACATTCCTTGAGCAAAGTTGCTCCATGTACTTAACACATCGTAATTCCTTTTTCATCCCCTTTTCCTCCTCTTTTCTCCCCTCCATCTCTTATCCCCTTGCCCTTTGAGAAAAATCTATCTCCCTACTTCCTATTATCTAACCTTTATTTTGCTCTTTATTTGTATTTTGGGGTTCTCATATAAAAGAAACCATGTAATATTTAAGCTTGTGTGTCTCATTTATTTCACTTAATATTATAGTCTCCCAAAGTGCATCCATTTTCCTACAAATAACTCTTTTTTCTTTCTTTATAGGAGTATTACTTTATTTTATATAAATACCACATTTTCTTTGTCCATTCATCTTTTAATGAATATATAGGCTACTTCCAAGATTTAGCTATTACGAATTGTGGTGCCATAAACATGAGTATGCATGTATCACTGTAATATCATCATATCTTTAACTCCTTTGGGAAGCCACCTAGAACAGGAATAGCTGAGTCAAATGGAATTTCTAGTTATAGTTTCCTGAGGGCTCATCATACTAATTCCACAGTGGTTGTACTAGTTTACATTCCCATCAACAGTAGAGAAGGGTTTCTTTTTTCCCCATATCCTTGCCAGCATTCGTTATTATTAGATTTCTTGATGATGGTCATTCTTTCTGGATAAGGTGGAATCTCAGTGCTGTTTTAATTCTGAGGATTGTGTTTTGTATTAATATTCCACAATATGGTCATTCTTTCCAACCATTCTGCTATTTTGAATAAAGTAGTTATGAACATTTCTCTGCAAGACGTTTTTTGTAAACTTTTATACTTTTTTAGTAAAATGTAATTCATTGAAGCAGACATTACTTCCTCCATTAAATTAGACTAGTATATGGATTCAAAAACATTTGACTGTGTAAGTGTATGTTTCTGGGCTTCCTGCTTTTTCTGATGAATCCACTTTGGTTTTTTCCTGATAATGCACTGATTACTCTAGTTTGATCCTACCTCAGTAAGTAATTACATTTTTCTCAATGCAATTTGTCTCTACAAAGTTTCTCACCTAGAATATTCTTATAAATTTGAAAAATATACCAATTTCTTTGAGAGGAGATATCTTGGTTGTTATTAAAGGGACTTTCTTCCAAGAATAGCCCAAGGTATTTATTAAGGGTCTCTTTTGCATAGACACAAGCTAATGTACTTTGCAGAATGGGTTATTTTGCTGGGACATTTTATTTGGAATTACATTTTAAAGTGAATGGGATTATTATTATATCAATCACACATCTTATTATATGCTAATTTCTCAAACACCATTAGTACAATAAAATTTTAATTTAATATCTAGGGTTCCAAACTTCTGCCTGGCCCTCCCTGAAGTTAAGGTATTTGTACCTCAGCTGAATGAATAATTGAGATTCCTGTGCTATTCCCCAGTCCCAGGCTTCTGTTCCTTTCGCTATGGAATATCCGTGCTCCTGCACTTCTGCAACGGGGTGGTAATGGCACAACGTACATGCCTGAGCCTCACAATGGTGGTGATGGTGAATGCCACACAGAGTCTGCCCAATATCTCCTCAGGGGAGCATCCAGGGAACATAATGGTATGTCAAAACATCACCCACAGCCCTAACTTCAAAAATCCTACTGTACTAACTAATTTGTGTAGAGCTTAATATTATGGACAGGACAATAATAATTAGAAAAATGGAAAGGATTGGGGAAAGAAAATATGAGAAAATGAAAAAAATGGAAACAAAGTTTTTGTAAATAGGAGAGGGGAGGAGTTGAAGGGAGGGCAGGGGAATGGGGAAAAAATAAGAACCAAGAGAGATTATGTAAAGGTGCAAATTTCCAATGATGAATGTCATTATATTGTATACCTAAAATGTACCAATAAAATTAATTTTAAAAAAATAATTAGAAAAATGTTACTGTCAGACTGGTGAGTTCTTCTCTTAACCCAGAAAGAATTACAAGGCACAAATTCAACAGAAGACTGAGCAACAATATTTATTGTAGAGCAAAAACAGGTTTTATTGTAAAGTGAAAGCAAAATGCTGCAGGATATTGAACCTGAGAGGGGAACAAAATGGGTCATCAAAGTGACTCTATATCTAAGGATTTTTATGTACAGAAAATGACTATATCTTAGCCACATTGAGATCAACCTATGGGGCTACAAGAAAGTTTGACTTAGAATTATGCCCAAAGGAACCTGGGATATGCATCATGAATTGTAACTTCTCTGAAATTAGCAGAACAAACACATTCTTTAGAGAGGTATGGCTACCTTATTCCTAGACAAGAAAATCTCACTAGTCCAATGAGGCCTCTGTTTGTTGCCTCTGGAGCCCTGGCTTTCGCCATCATATTCCTCACTGAGTCACCCTGACTCCCTCTCTGCCTTGACTTTTCCCTAGCTGCCTGTCCTGTCTGTGGAACTCTTTTTGCCATAATCCTTCCCATACTCCCCTCTCCTCATGGCCCAGCAGCATTCTGACAAATCTTCTCAGTTTCCCACAGGGCCCTGCTTGTCCTCATACATATCATGTTTTACAGAAACAGATTGTTTTGATTACAGTTGGTTGCTTCCTGTTAGGTTAGGAAAATGATACCCTGATCTCAGAAAATGGAACCTAAACCCAACCACATCTGCGAGGGCTTGTGGTTCATTCTCCCCAAGTCTCTAATTATCTCCCTGCTTCATTCTCCCCTCCTAGTATGTTCTTCATCTGCTGACAAAAAGGGGTGTGGATCTTTTGCTATCTCTCTATTTCAAAGGAGACTCTCAAGTCTTGATCTACCTTGCCAGTAATGAGCTAAATAAGCATGTCCTTTGATTAAAGTACACCTCAGTATTTCTGAAATCTGAAACACTTCTAGTGACAATCATTGTGGATAAGGGCTATTCAATTTGTAATTGATGACCTCAATGATACAATGTAAATATGTATATAAAATAACATTGTAAGGGAATAAGTGTGGTCCTTTGACAGAAAGTATTAGGGAGGAGGAGCTACTTTTCATGATTGAGCAAGAAGACCATACTCCCCAAATCCCTAGATATCACCGTGGGTCTGAAGTATGCAGTGTGGTTAGATGTGTCTCTCTTTTCTTTCAGAACCCTGTCTATAATTGGAGCCCTGACATACAAGGGATCATCTTAAGTTCCATCTTCTATGGCACAATGATTGTCCAAGTTCCTATTGGATATTTATCTGGAATATACTCTATAAAGAACATGATTGTTTGGGGCTTATTCCTCGGCTCTGTGTTCAGTCTGTGCATCCCCCCAGCTGCTCAGGTTGGAGAAACTTTGGTCATTGTGTGTCGAGTAGCCCAGGGAATGGCCCAGGTATTACGATAATGTAAAAACTGAACAAGATTTAAGTTCACACTAAGCATCAGAGATTACATGTCCTAATCTTTCTCATTTTAGGGGACAATAATAGCAGCGCAGCATCACATATGGGTCCAGTGGGCTCCTCCCTTGGAACAAGGCCGACTTACCACCATCAGTCTATCAGGTAAGGACTTAGGACTTAGAATGTTTGAGATCTATTGTCATCTTATTGCACCCCGTTCTTCCCTGTGGCCTTATGAAGCATGTGTTTTGAACTGTTGAGGACTTTGCAAACTATCAATTCCAGCTTTCTTGCTTTAAAAAGGAGGAAACTGTTTAGAATAGGAAAAAAAGGAATCTTTGCCCCAAACAACAGGAAAAAAAAGGATGGAAAAAGCAAAATTTTATTACTTTCTTCTGATAAGTGTTAAGCTATACAAATTTATTTCACCAGCCATTATTTATTGCTTCAGTGAGGTTACTTCTCCTCTGCTTTCAAATGTCTGCATTAATTTCATAGTGGTGGGTTTTGTCCTTTCCATTTAGGGATTCACTTGGGGCCTTTCATTGTCCTGCTTGTGACTGGATTCATCTGCGATCTTCTGGGCTGGCCCTTCGTCTTCTATATTTTTGGTGAGTCTCCTTCTATAAAATCTCGTTTATAATTCAGAATTTAAGAAAAACTAATAACAAAAACCTATCATAATGTAATAATTTATATGAAGTTAATATTTAAAATCACAAATTCCACTGAGAGAAAAAAGTCAACATTCATGAAGTTCTTATTACAAATGAGGTGTCATGCTCAGAACTATACATATATTTAGTACATAACTTTTACAATTCTGTAATGTAGATGCTATCATTTCACATCATTTATTTGAAACTCTTCAGGAAAGGAGTGATCAGAATAATTAACTTTTCAGATTTTTGAAAGATCATATTCTAAGTATACCATTTACACCTACCCAATCATGACCTTTGGCCCTGCTCCATAATCAAACAAATTGATTTCTGCAGTTAAAAACAAACTTTGCAAAATTGGAAAACACAAAATCAGAACTGAGTTTGCCAGATGAGTTATAAAATCACTTTCGGCTTTCACATCTTGGTTTTAGATATGTTGAAGAGAATGCGGATGGATGTGATTATGCCCATTTGTTAGGTGAGGGCATTTACAGGGGCTAGGTCACTCGGCCAAAATCATACTTAGAGTAAATTCAGGATTTAATTACAAGTGATTATTTTAAAAAATGGGTACAAGAAGTGAATCACAGGGATATTGCAGTAATTAGAGCCAAGTGATATAGGAACTAGTACCATTCCCAAGCCCAAAGAGACAAATGAGAGTGTGGTTACCACTATCCATTAGGAGGAACTCTTGTAGATCAGACTGTCTCAAGAGAACCCATGATTTTTCATTTTAAAAAAAAAACACATCGAAGGAGGTAATCCTAGGAGTGAGATGTTTAGGGCTTGAAAAGACACCCTAATCCCACTAATTCTCTCCCTCTCATCCTACTCAGACTTTCTGTTGGCTAAACAGGAAGGCAGGGTGTGGGGCCTGTTGATATTTATTAAAGCAGCCATCTGTGGCCAAGGCAGATTGTAAAGGAATGGAGAGTGGATAACAGAGAGAACGCACACCTCATACAGGGACCAGAGGGCAGAGCCATAATATGCAAACCTGTCTTCCTCCCTCGAGTTTCTATCACTCTTAATCACCACTTTAGTCATCAGTAGTAAGAGGTGGTCAGTATTAGTGATGGGGCACATACACTGGGTCCTGAAAGGGACTGAAAGAACTGGGACTATCTCTTCTGGAGAAAAGAAAATTTGCTTTACAACAGAAATTCAAAACTGTTCGGCATTATAAAACTAAACTGAACATGCAGAAACCTGGGAGAAAAGGCTTTAGTCTCATATGAGAAAAGCTTTCCAATGATTAATTGCTGGTCAAATTGGATGGATGACTCTCAACATTAACCTTCTGTTCCTACTTCAGCATTATGTGCAGCAACATATGTTGCTGGTAGTTATATAAGGGGTTTTATGAAACTCAAAGGAAGGGAATACATTTTATTCTGTGACAAGAGTTTTACTGTGAAGTGCCTTGTACACATCTTCTTGATCACTGACAACAGTGGAAAGAACTTTGAAAGCACCGGTTAGGGATTTAGATATCTGCCTGACAATCCTTTTCTTAGGGGGTCACTTGATTTCAAATGACCTGCCCAAGTGGCAGAGGCAAAACCAAAATGATAATTATTTATAAACTTTATTTGAATGTTCTTCTCAATAAAGTTAAACAAATCTAAATAGACATTGTTTTTAAGAACAAGACAATGTCTGTAGTTTCATTAAGAAATTTATAACTGCTGAAGTTGAATATGATAGGCCTGGGTATAAATTTTTGATACCCTTCTTATTGTTCTATGAGTATATTCATTATGTATAGTTTGACATCTATCATTAATTTTGAGAAATTTTTAATAATTATTGGTTAAAGTGGTACTTCTGTTCCTTTCTGTCTTTTTCCTTCTATTATTTCATTTAGATACTTCTTAGACCTTGGGTAATTTTGTAACTGTTCCACATTTCTTATATATTCTATTCTGTTTCATTCTGCAGTCTTAGCAATTCTGTTTTGGAATGTTCTGTTGCTATTTCTTCAAGTTCACTGATTCTTTTTTGCTCATGTCCAGTCTTCATTTCTGTTATAATGCCTCTGATTCCCCTCATTTCTTTCTGATTCTTGATGAGTTGCCAGGCCACTCAGTCTCACTGACTATGCACTCCCTGCCATGGACTTTATCCATCTAGCCGTTCCTTCTCTGTTTCTGTTGCTGCCTCTTCCTTTTTCCCTTGTCAATTTAACTTCTGCCTTAATTAAAGCTCTACCCAGCCTCATTCTCCAGGATGTATTCCTCTCATAGAAAATTAACTTTCTGTATATGATCACTTACTGCTTACTAATCATGTGTCCCTGGGCAAGTAATCTGATCTTTTTAAGTTTTCTCATTTTTTTCTTTAGATTATTTTATTGGTACATTTTAGGTATACAGTACATTTGCATTCATCATTGGGTGCTTGTACCTATACATGATGTATCTCGGTTCTTATTTTTTCCCCATTCCTAGTCCTCCTTTCACCCCCTCCACCATTCCCTATTTACAAAGACTTTGTTTCCATTTTTTCCATTTCTCATCATTTTTCCTTTCCCTTCTTTCTTTTCCCCTACCCTTTCCACTGCTCCTATCCCTTTGGACCTTTTCTTGCTATTTCAAATTATCAATTATTCATTTTAATCATTATTTACACTTTCAGTTTC